TTTGAGTGTGAGATCAAATGCAGACAATTATTATATAGACTATTGTTTGCCCATATCAGGTTGTGATATAAAACTACGTGTGTGTTTGTCAGGTGCGCAACGGCAGAACAGGATCGGTGCTGTTTCAGTCAGAAGAGAAGTCATCCAGGATCCGTTGTACCTGTATGTGCAGACAGCCCTCTGTGGTGGCTCTGGGCCAAGAGGATGGCACTGTACAGGTAGGTGCACAGATTCTGTATGTGTGACAGGGCAGAAAAGTCATTTTAGACACTCAAAAGAAAACTAGCACGATGTTTATTCAGCAACAATACCAAACACTGTGTGGTTTCAACTGCTGCTTTTGTAAATAACTGTGTTTTGGACTGTTACTCAGGGATAACAAGCAAAGTGAAGATGTCTCCTTGGGAATTACCTGACATGTTTAGAGTAAACAACTAAAGAATATCTCACAATTAAATTCTCATTATGTGTGTGTGTGTGTGTGTGTGTGTGTGTGTGTGTGTGTGTGTGTGTGTGAGAGAGAGAGAGAGACAGCAGGTCACTGTGTGAATGTTGTGTGTTTCTCAGGCCATGTTGAGTCATGAGATCTGACATTAGCACTGTCACCCCTTTTTATCTGTGCTGTCAGCTGTATGTCAGGTCGCCTGCAAACACCTCTTTCATCTTCCTCTCCTTGCTCCCTTCTCTTTTGTGCCCCTCTTTTTGCCTGTGATTTGTATTCTCAGCGCTCTTCTCTGCTTCTCTCTATTTTTATGTTACATCTCTGTCACATACCCATCTTTTGTTTTGTTTATCTCTCTTCCTCCTCTTGTTGTGTTTGTCCCCCCCGGTCTCCTCCTTCCTCTGTCTTTTGTCTTGGTGATAAATATTTGTTTGCAGAGAATGAGGTCTTGGTGTCCTTTGTGGCAGGTGTGTGCGTTTCTGTGTACATGAATGTATGTGTGTATTGCGTGTTGTGCACACTCGGCAATGTTGGAGGACATCCCTGAAAGTTTCCGTCCTTTATTAAAATACAATCACTTCTTCAGATAGAGTCCCCTGACACATCAGCACTTCTTCAGATAGTCCCCTGACACATCAGCAGCCGCCCCATACAGCAGAGAGAAACTAATTAATTAAAAGGTCCTGCAGTCTTAATGAATACAGGGGTTAATGATTTTAATTACAGTTCTTCTCTGACCCTTCATCTGCCGCTTCTTGTGTCTTCTGGCCTCAGAGGGTTATTGCACAAAAGGGCTTAGTGGAGCACAGACGATTAGTCATCTGAGTTTTTAAAACTGAAACATGAGATATTTGCAGGTGGTTTCTTCTGTTTTTCTGCGTGTTGTAGCAGCCTCCTCTCCTGTGATTCGCCACAGAAGTTTCTGACTTTGGTTGCGATTCACTGCCTGTCCAAAGTGTAATCCTTGGTGTATATCTTGATTAACAGCTTCTTTAAGCCAGAATGCACACTGGACATCAGTTACCTCCAACATCAGATCTGGATCCAGTTGAACCGGAGTTCTTAAAGCTTTTGTACACCAGAGGGAGCCCTAGTAATAGCTGGGGGTGTTTCTTAGTGCCACTGACTGCTGTAGTGGATGGCATTATTTCATTCTTGTTTGTTTGGACTTATGTCCTACCAGTTTCATGAAGTAAAAATGACAATGGCCCTCATCCTCCACAGTGTTAATTGGCCTGCAGGCTGTAACCAACCATTTAGCTGTTGCTGTGTTGAAAGTTTGTTGCTTCTAGTGTTGTCCAGGCAACTCCGTTACAAACTACCCAGTGTAGTGTGCCTTTGGTGAGGGGGAGTAGGGCTCTCTGCATCAGCTGTGTGTTCAACATACTCCGGTGGTAACTCAGTTCAGTAAATACAAATAACTTTGGTCTTGTCGAGAGTCCAAAGCCCATCTGGCAGGGCTTTGATGCTGAACCTGCCATTCAAAAGATGTTTTTCTTTATCCATCTTTGCTCATTTCTCCTGATGCATTGCTTCCAGAGTTCCCAAACTATGGGGTGGGCCAATGCGTTAATGCATTATTACATCAACTGTGACAGCTCTACTAATTATTTATGAACTTCAGTACAGGAGTCACTCACAGCTCCTAAAGCCAGTCAGTGTGACATACCAGCCTTGTTCTGCTAATGTGAAAGGTCGACGCCTTTATAGGTGCAGGACAGGACAAACGACAGATTGTGAAAGTATGCATTTGTGAGTGTGTGTGATTGTGTGCATGTGTGTTTTCCATGCCAGGCAACAGGGCTGACAGCTAGTCAGGTACTAAGGACAGTCGGCTGCAGGATCCGACACCTGTTGACCTCCAACAGGAGGTTGTTGCTGGCTGCAGGGCTATGCAATGGCAGTGTGCAGGTATGGTAGGGGCAGTGTTATATTCATGTGTGTTCATTTGTGTTTCAGGGTTCAAGAATCACTAAGAGTCTGCTTCAGTGGCTAGTTTACTTTTTTCATAGTGGTACAAGTGCTTCCCCATCTTCCATATTTACATTAGTCTACTTTTATATTTGTTTATTTTTTTTATTAAACACCCTCAGGAACCGTCCCAGGAATCCTTGAACCAGATGTGTACATTTTTCCAAAGCATTCTTTCCCAGGCTTTCAAAGTTGCATCTCAGTACGTGGAGGCTGACAAACATGGTTGTTGTGCCCCGAGGCTTGTTCTGGTCAGACATTTCAACCCTCTCCTCTGAGATATAAACATTTTAGTGGGCCTTTCTTTTATATTTTTAACACTGGACTGAAGATAACATGCTGTATTTATTTCTTTTTGTTTCATTGCTCTCCATTGATTTTGCATGACTTTTAGTAGTTTATTGTCCTGAAGTTTGCAAAGTAGCAGGTATTAATATTTAGAAAGTTTAAATATGAATATATTATCTCAAGGTTAATTAGGAAAAGAGAAGTTTGTCACAGCTGATTTTGTAATTGTGAATGTAATCTATACCCGTTTCACTTCATAATACACTAATTAGCCTTTTTGTATTAACAAACTGACAAAAAGACCAGTGTTGCACTCTCTGGAGCCATGCTGCTAGTATGACTAAAAATGTTTATTTTGCTAGAGACCTCCCTGAAACCCCATCGAGGACTTTTGTCATATTGTTAGTAAATGTCACAAAACCAGCATTAACTAATTTGTGAAAGTTTCTCATCTCAAGGGCTTATTATAACAGGGTTTTAAGTAGAAGTAACAATCTCAAATGAGAGCACATGATGGTGTTTTTTACTTTTTCTTAGATCATGATGCTCAATCAAAGCTGTTTCGTTCTCTAAGCCCCCAGTAATGTCTGCAGGGCTGTCACACCAGGGGTAGCCCTTTGCAGTCTTGACCACACTGAATGATCGAAACTTGAAGCCCATACTTTGCCCCCAGCTCTGCTTTCCTTTTGATGGGCTATCAACATCAAGCTAGCTGCAGTGCTTCACCTCTCTCCTTCACAACTATTCCCTCCAAATATGATTCATATGAGGGTTTTTTTTAGGAAAGTTACAGGGAGACTTTCTCCCCTGAGTATATCTTGGCTCAGCTATCACTGAAGGTTGTATAGATGTTAGACACTAAAGGTGAACCCTATATGACTTCTTGGTACTGTATAGCTCTTTTTTGACATCGCTCTCTTTACTTTTCTTACACCTGCACCTGAGCTATAGTTGTCACTGTTTTTCCTGAATGCTTGAGTTGCTATAATATTTGTTTGTTTCTTTCTTCCAGGTGTTGGAGGTGCCTTCTGGAAAGCTTCTGGCCACTCTGCTAGGTCATACGAAAACAGTGCTACACTGCCAGTTCAGCCACAATGGTCAAATACTCATCACATCTTCAGAGGACACCACCATAAGGGTATGCGACTCCTCACCTTTGTCAGTTGCTCCCTTCCTCTCTTTAGGCTTTTTGTTTCTGTCTGCTTAGTTTTTCTTGGTGTTTTTCTCATTCATCACTGTCCTTCGTCCTCATCACCTTTTCTTGCCTAATTCATGCTGTGTCCTTTCACGTCCTCCCCCAACCTGCACCTCATTTTAATTCTCTCCTATCCCTATCCCTCACTTTGAGAAAAAGCGCTTGCTCTGCTGAATCACTCATCCTCACAGAGTTTTGGATTTCTGGTGTTACCTGTTACGTTCTTTCAGCTTCACTGTCGGCCTATTCACCTCTCCATTCTTTATCCCCCTCTTTTGTCTCTTCTTCTTCCTTTTCCCTCTCTTTGCCTTTTGGCTATGCCACTCTCAATAGCGTTTTATCTCCCTCCCCGTCTTGCGCCGATCGTGTGCAACTGTCTGTGTTTATGGGTAAGTGTGTGTATTTTGGGCCGTTACACTCTGTCAACCCTCACTGTTCATGCTCGGTTGCTCGTTTCCCTTTTATTCTCTCCTCCCATCTCATCTCCTCTTCCTTCTTCATCTCTTCTTTTTGCAGACAAACCTGTCCACTGCAGCACTTCTTTCCTCTCAGCACAGCACCTTGTTCAGTATTCATGTGGCTGTTGCCTACATCATCACTATTCTTGGTTTGTCTGCCAAATATTCAGAAGCTATTCAAGTTCCTGCTGTTTGTCATGTGCTCTCCAGTTTTTAGTTGTTAATGCAGCAATAGAGTGAGCATTTGCTAATGTGGAAAAATGTGCTGGTTTCCGCTAATTAGATAACAAAACACGAACATTGCAGTTGGTTAGAATACTCTAAATTACGACCAGAATAATTCAATAGAAAAGTACAAAACTGAAATAGTGGTTAGCTTGCTAATCATACCTATACTCACATATTAGCCAGCTACAGTTACATACACGTCTGGCAGGAAGAAAGCCACATCAAATTTTAGTCTTTTGAGTGCTTTTAATGCTCTCCATCTCCAACATGCCAAACTGATGTTACCCCTGGTTTTGCCTCAATCTTTGTCACGTTCTTTCTGTGCCTCTTGAGTCTTGAGGTCCTCTCTCATCCTGGGTTGTGCCTGGATAGGGAGCCGCCATGGTCTGTCTATGAAATGAGTCACAGTGGTTTGAAAAATACATCGTATAACCTTGGATCAGCCGCGGTGTGGAAGACGTGCGGTGCAGGTTTTAACAACAGTGGCCACAGAAGGAAAGAAATAAACACAAGGCCTGGAGCTAGCAGAGTGGTGTGGGGGTGTTCGTACAGCAAGGAGAAAACACTTATAGACAGTCTCAGAGTGTTCGTACAGCAAGGAGAAAACACTTGTAGACAGTCATTGATACTTAATTTATCTGAATATGTGCTAAATCTTAGTTAATGCATCTTTAAACTCCTGACTCTGATCATTTGTCTGAAATACAGTGATCTACTCCACCATTAACAGTTATACAGCTACATGTTTGCATGTAGGAGTGTACCGCAAATATTATGCTACACTGCAGCATCCCTCTCAGATGATGTATACCACATGGCTTCTGGATTCTTATGAGCTTGGATTTTACTTGGTGGAAAGCACATTTGCCAGGTTTTCAGCAGTATGCTGCTCTGACATTGCTTTAGTCTGAAGAACAGCACTCTGTATTTTCCAGTTGCCTATATAATGGCAGGTGTAAGTGCTGTCCATGTGTCCGTGGTCAGAGATACCTTTTCAACACTTGTCAAACGGCTGCACAGCTCACATGTATTGTCATCATACAGTTTATCCAGTTGTACTGTGACCGTTGTTCTTGATGGGACCATATTCTCCGGCTTAACAAATGGCATCAAACTTCCAAAACCCTCCCTATCGCTAAAGCTAGTGGGTAACATCCTTTGCTGCCATCTTTGTGATGAGGGTTGTTGTTTGCTCTGCATGTCGATCATCAAACTTCCTTCCAAGTGACAGACCTAGCCAGTGACTGTTGATCTGCAGACCACACCCCATTTTCTGCTGGATGCCTTGCCTTCAAATGGCTGTGCATAGTTCTTGTGGATTTATCATATGCTAATCTTACAGACTTTAGCTGATGTCATTGAGAGCCCTCAAGCACTTGCTGATTTCACATATAAGGGCTTATCGAGTGGGCAGTTATGGAAATATGGATACAACTGAGTTGATGTGGCTAAAAGATCCCTTGTTCCTGTTTGTCTCTCTGTTCTCTCTGTAGTTGTGGAGGTGGCAGTCAGGGGTGTGTAAAGTACTCCAGGGTCACAAGGAACAGGTCAGATGCTTCTGTCTGCTCTCCAACTCACCAGCCAACACAAGACTACTGTCCTGGTCTTTCGACGGCACTGTCAAGGTGAAGCTCATACACACTCCTTCAACACAACAGTGTGAACTCAAGCAGTAGACAATCTCTCTCTTTCTCTTGCTCACTATAAGGTGTGGGACATAGAAAGTGGAGAGAAGCTGCAGGACATCGAGGCTCACCGGGGAGCAGTTCTGTCCTGTCATGTCTCACCAGACGGATGCTTTCTCGCCACCACTTCTGCTGACAAGACTGCTAAGGTTCAATGCTTACACACACACACACACACACACACACACACACACACACACACAAATTCACAGGATGAGACATCTGTTTGTGCTGCCAGTAATAATGTGACGTATTATGCAGCGCGTTCCCTCAGACCTCCTCCCGAACTGATTACTTACGGCATATACAGATGGACATGCTGCTGTGGGTGATATCTGAGGCCATTTAGTTTTTTTCCAGTGAGGAGGTGAGAGACCTCTTAGCAGGGGTGTCCAAACATTTTGTAAAGAGGGCCAGATTTGGTGAGGTGAAAATGTGTGGGGGCCGACCATTCAGCCTGAC